GCTTGAAGCTATCTACACAGCAAAGACTACTAGGGTAACCCTGACCGATTCAATACACCATCCTGGATATATAGCACTACGATCTCGAAAGGAATTCTAAGCGTAAGCTCGACTACATCCATACAGGATCATTTATGAAAAAATATAGTCGTGTATGTAAAACACTTCTAGTCCACCCTGAATAGATCAAACCGGCACATAGTTTCACCACATTTACGCGTTGGTTATCAACAGGATCTCAAAAGGCATCTCACTAGTTATGTGCATGTGATAGCCCAGATGAGAATACAGCGTATACCACAACGATCGAGGATGACAACAGATACATACACATCCCAAAATATATATTAAACTATTAACTGTGGTATACATGCGCGGTGGCGTCGATCTGCGCAAATATATAGCGATGCACTTCTGAACCTCTCGGGCCCTTTTGGGCGATCATTTCATCGAGTCACCCTCCTTCTCAATGCAGCGATCAACCGATACACATACACATACACATAGTAGACTTAATAACAACACAAAGGATACCAAAGTATATCATACCGGAAACCTATGCTGAACACATTGTTGTCATCCGCTCTGGCAATGTGTAGACCCACAGCACCGGTCTTATCATGCACATGCTGGACAGCAGTTAAACTAAGTTCAGGTATGCTCTCTATACCTTTGATTGTGAATCCGTTCACAGTCTCTCCTACTTTCACCCCAACATCACTGTGGTGCGATATACGTGCGTGCGCTGTTGTGTTCTGTGCCGCTGCTGTGTTGCTTGATGCCCATCGCCTAAGTAGAAGCGACGAACGCACGGCACTCTGCTGCACCGTGTGTATGGTACGCCACATAGTCAATAACGTGTCTGATGTTGTCTACTATGCCCTCTATTAACACCCTTATGTCTAAATACTATGCCCCCGACTACTTATTATTGATTTAATATGGTGTGTGCAATGGGCCAAGGGTTCATGTACACGTATTGTGTTTATGACAGCACCAATCGATAAGCTGGTGAGTGATATTTGAATTTCGACTCTCGTGGGACGTTTATTGTGAATGAGCCCGCGTAAAATCCGCAGGCCCTGTTTAGGTATTCAAAGTCACGTTCGGTACAACACATATTGAAAATATATCACACTGCTCCAGTCTATTGTTTAGAAAAAGAAAGAAAAAAATACATACACCACACTTTAACCACAGTCTACACCAGGGTATTTAAACACTTTCATAGTACGTGTGCACAGTATATATGCACAGTGTTATGATGCAAAATAAACATCAAATCATTTTGATCAAATATTACATATATAATAGATATATCATATCATTGTTATTGAGATAGTTGAGATATGCACACCCGTATTCCTGACTGTCTATATTCCACAATTATAATTGATTATATTGTTTTTCTTAATTTGATAGGAATTATCTTTGATTCTTCATACATATAAATAGCTGTCAAACAACCAGTCTACCAGACCTGGCATTCGTGATCTCCGGAAACGTATAATTCCGCGCCACGCTTTTAAAGAATGTATTCTTACCCGAATTGATGACACTTTTTAATCCTTACAATACATGTATTTATCCTTTCTTTTCTTACTTCAATATGTAGTTAAATTTATTGTCCATAACTTAGGGACGATCCCTGTCAATTCATAGACTACCAATCCTGGGTTCATTTCTCCGAGAATGAAAAATTCTACACATCTACATGCACTGTCCGTTTACCCGGTAGCCTGGCACTCTGTAATCATCAACATGTACAAAGTTATCCTTTTTCACTTTATTGTTTATGAGATGGATTGTTGTTCATAATATAGCGGTTAGTTCATCTAGACTACTAATCCTGGTATCTGTGATATCCGGGAACGCAAACGTCCGGGTCACATCTATATGTACCGTATGCACACCAGCATTCCTGCCAGCCTCTAGATCAAACTTAAAGTCCCCTATCATAACCGTATCCTCTGGCGTAGCTCCCCACAGATCCATAAGTATATTCAGTCCATGCGGGCTGGGTTTAGGTGCAGCACAATGCCTACTTAGCACATACGTACTGGGAAAATATGTACTCATATGACATGCTTGCAACGTCGCTTCGGCCGCTGGTTTGGTGTTGCGTGTTAGTATACCCACGTTCTTTCCCTGTGCCGATAATTTACTCAAAAGTGACAGAGCTCCAGGCATACACCGAGCATTGGCGGCTATCTCGAGTTCAATCAGATCTAACTTGTCGTGTATTGGTTTGCTGAGTGTCGCGGGCATTTCGTCGAGTGCCTCTAGTATAGGCTTGTAGCTGGGAAGACCTAATTGTTGTTTGATCCTTTGGAAATCGTGCATAGCTATGGTTAGAGTACCTGTGTATATAGATAAGAAAGGCGGGGTTAAGAAAAGTTTAGATTGCATATATATCGTTTGAAGATATATCATTTACCGACGTGCCTGTATATGCTGACGTGTAGGTTCAATGCATGGGACTCAATACTTCCGAAGCTATCGGCCAGAATAAAGCAATGTGATTTGAACGTATGCATAATCAATCAGAAGCTTATACTGTTGAAGTAAATACCAACTGGCTCTGTTGCGAAGTTTGGACATCGCTGTTATTGTGTTTGTGCAACTCTATTTGCGAAAAGAATCGGGAATATATGTGCCCTTCGATGGAATAAAATCATGACACACACCATCCATGTCAAAGATCCAATTGCGGCGGTCTCTCAACGCCATACTTGCGGCTTTTGCAGGGTTGGCCATGATAATATCTAAGCAAGACGTGTGTGCTGACACTTGACTGTCCGATACTAAACTTACATCGTGTATGTAATCATATTTTTTTAACACTCTTTCTAATTCGGTACGATGTAGGGTTCGAAAACTTCGATGCCGCGGTGAGTTTTATCATTGTGATGACGGCTTGTAGGCGTATTGGGTTTTACTATCCATATATATATATAGACTTTCATATTGACCTTGATACTTCCTACCTCTGTAATAATTAGTCCCAACATCTCTGTTATACATGATCTGGTGAATTCGTTAGCAGTATCTCGTCACCGGGCCCCGGAGCTATATCAGCACAGAAAGAACACATTGAATTACCTGTCTCGGATATTTGAACAATACGTATGCATTTGTCCACTCATGCAGGCTTGCAGGTGACTTGACCGCACCTCAAACGAGTTACCCTTTATCCCTTTATCAATACATCTCTGTATATATACAATCATTTACATTTATATTAAATATATATATATATTATAAATTCATTATCATCTACAAATGCCTTCCTTGGCTAGACGCGTGCACTCAACAACCGATCTGACGGCGCTCAGAAGGTTTGAGAACAGAGTCGATCAACGAGATGAATGCGAAAGCACAATATGGGACTACGATGATGGTAGCTTAGGAACAGCCCACACAGCAACGGCATCGAATGCATCGTCGGCTGGCCTCTCTGCGCTTGTGCTAGAATTGCAAGACAAGGATCTATCCGAGTATGTGGTTACATCAGTGTAGCTGTCTGCTTACAGGGGTTCAATGCATGCTGTGTGGGTACTGTTTTTGTTTAACTTGTTCGTATTGTCGAGAAGTCATCCTCATCCATAAAACATCTGTACATACGTGTTTGAGATGGACGTCAAGGTTCTAACCTTGCAAGTGGGTGCATGCCTAGTGCCCCTTCACCAATAGTATAGTGGTGGCTGCTGTGTGCGTGGTGAGTTTGTTTATCTCACAGGTTTGTATCGACGAAATATTATTCACGGTTGATGAGTATCCGGCGAAGTCCCTCTCCACAAGTTATATTCTCTGAGCTGCTAGAAGCTATTCAAAGGGTTTTTTTATTCACCTCCACACACTTTGTTGTAGACATGTTTATTCATTCTGGTAAGGTCTCAAGCGTACGGCTGACTCAATAAAGTCTGTGTCGTCTGGCGAGGTAGTTAACCCATGTAGCGCTATTGATTCTGGAGAGGTTGCTCGTCTGAGCGGAAGCAAATCTTCTCAATCTTGACTTCGTCTAATAAGATAAACTAAACCGCCCACGGGATGTGTAGTTCACAGTGGTATCTATAGGCTGTCTTTGATGCACAAAGCGTTAACGTTGTACGTGACAATGTGTTTCGATATAGAGTTTATATACGTTGCAATGTCCATGAGTCGCCGTTTACCAATAAACTGAATGTTCATCTTGGTCTACATATTTTAAGACACATACATTCATACATGCGTTTACCAATAAACTGAATAATCATCCTGATGTACATAATTTAAGACGCATACATCCATACATAAGTGGAAAGAATCTCACCTTGTATATGTGTATGCCCTCCTATACTACCGCTATCGCAACTGATGTTGGCTCTGGGATTTAAATCGGATAAAACGATACTTGATTAAGAATGTCGGCAGATTTGCACATATTTCACTCGAAGACGCTGCGTACTTATCCAATTGACCAGATTACAAACACCTTCTTCGTTCAAATGATAATGCAGGTTTGTTGACACTGATCTGCCTGAGTTCGATCGGACGAAATCATCGAGTGGCACTTATGCAACCTACACGTATGTTCGCTTCGCGCAAAGAATTATGCTACTGTACATGCTTGTTAGCATGAGCCTGACACCGATTATACTAGATGCCTCTATTCTTTACGGTCGAAAGTGCGAAATTACCTTCCTATGATTACATATTTTTTTTTCGCCCAAGAATTCTAGGCACGTTGATCGTTTTGCGTTAGGGTCTATCTACATACTGTGTTTACTATCCCGTTACCGTGGCTGCTTGTGTTTCCAAATTTCGTTGTATATGTGTTTGTGTTGAAGTGTGTGCTTGGTCGACAGTATGCGGGTATCTATGCTGTCATCTATAGTTTCTAATGACGTCTATAGTTTCTAACACATCACATTTGACAGTCACACCTATCTGTGTGACAGCTACAAGCGTGCATGTTTCGCTATGTGGGCTTTTTGGCTGACCATCAATACGATTTATCGTCCACTTGCCGATAGGTCGCTGCAATACACATACGTATACATACTAAAAGTTAATATGTGTACATTATATGCAGTTATATATTCTGCAATATATCAACAGTCCCAAAATTCAAGTTATACGTGGCGGTGGCTGAGGCCCACATTGACTCTGTATATGTCCGCGAAACACATTGCAGACCCCAGGATATATACCTTCATGAAAAACAAGGTAAATTTATTCATGTATATATGTATACACCACCTTTCCCTCACTCGACCCCAGTGATAAAGCGCCAGCCGAACTCGAAATCGACGTCGATGTGGGGGTGCCCACCTTCGTAGCCGACTCGATGCAAACCCTGTCTGGTGTTCGTATCCCTCTGATACCAGAGCGCGCTGTGAGTTCAATAGCCCTGGACAAGGAACGACTCAGCGAGGGTGCGGGAAACTCTCCTGATCTTAGCGCTCGCTTGGCTGTGCGACGGACACGTACGCTGCCACCGTTTGTGAAGCACCTGTCGCCGATGGAGAAGGTGATGTGTCTGCGATGGAAGTGCGGTACTTTATTTCGTCAACGTCTGGTGACTTGTGTGTGTAGGAGGTGTCTTTAGGTCCAATGAATGGTATGGCCGCAATCCAACTGCTCTTGATCACTCTATCCCTCGCATATCCGGATGTATCTTTTTTTCCTCTGGGTGATGTGGCTACTGACGTCTTGCACACTTCCTTTTATTCTAACAGAAATTGAGTGAGCGGATATTGACAGACGATGCGTGGATGATGCGAAGTAAAGCCAAAGCGAACGCAAGGATTCTACGGGGAGAAACAAACGGTACGCGAGTCTATTCTTACTATATATATATAATATGTATATGTGTATATACATGCATCTATATATATATATATATATATATATATATATAATATTNTATATATATATAATATATATATATATATATAATATGTATATATATATATATATATATATATAGTATATATATATAGTA